CCACATATACGCGCGCGGGCAGCTTTCGCCTTTCCATGCAGATGCAATCGGGGAAAAAAAAAGGCCGTGCACGACAATGCTACATCATGAAAAGCTGACGTCTACTCAGAAGCCCGGGTTCAAAATCTGTCCCCCCTCCTCCCGGCATACATATATCCTTGCAGGGAAGCACTAGCTGTCGCTTTTCTTCCAGTCTTCCTTTTGACTTCTCTTTGTGCAAGACTATATTAGCTAAACATGCATCAAGGAAGGGAAGATGAAAAGAAAAAAAAAAGGCAGAAAAAAAGCAGCCTGGGTGAAATAAGCTCTTCCACATGCAGCCAGGTAGGGAATAGCTTTGTCTGGAGGGGCACGCTGACAGGGAGGAGAGGCTGGGGTCCCCCCACCTCCCCATAAGCTCACCTTTACGATTTCTTCTCAGCCCTGAGATAAAACTAGAATTTTGTCAATGTCCTCTGGAGTTAAAGATCTCCGCACACTCGTAGGTGCTCGATTAAAAAAAAAAAAAAAAAAAAAAAAAGTTGTGTTTCTGGGAGGGGGCAGTGGGAAAACCTTAATAGTAATTTGCTTCCTCAGTCTATGCAGCTCCTCAGTCAACTGAAACCACTCGTTCAAGACAGCAACAATCCAGATATACTAGCAAGTCATAAAACTGAACAAAAGCCGACAAACCTTAGAGCACCATCGCTATATGGCCCAGACAAATTACGACCGTCTAGGTAATATTTAAATAGATTCCTAAAGTAATTGCAGGGGGTTTAGGCAACTATTCCTGTTGTAAAAGTTCTTGAAGACATAAAGTAGAACCTGAGGATAAACAGTCACAAAAAGAGGTAAAATTAAAAGGATTCATTCCACGGGTTTTTATTCTTCTATGAGAACATAAACATCGTCTTTTTCACGCACAGCAGCATTACAATATTAATTTATTCCGATTTAAGGTAAGAACTAGATATAGCTAGAACTAACATTTATAATAACGATAGAATGCATTTGCTTAAAACAGTATCGGCATTTTAATAATAATAGACATTTATCCATATCTGTATTTATAGCTTTTCCCCTTTTTTTTCTTTTTAAATTTTTCACCTATATGTTTGACCCTTTAATGCATGTAACTTCACAGTATAAAGGAGGACGAACACGTTCTCCCTCGCCATCTCAGACTCTGGCTCAGAAAGTCTTTCTTATGTTCAGGATATATACTTTTCAGTGAAATTAGTGAGGAAAAAAGTGACAATTTTCTTCTCAAGGGGGAATTTCTGTGTGCTTGTCATGCGTTACCAACGGCAACGTTACTTATAGACACAAAACAAAAATCACTAATTCCACATATTTAAGCAAAACTACATTAAGTAAATATCTACAACCAGCAAGAGAAATTCGGAGGTAAGTGTAATAATTTAGTCCATGAGCAAAACGAACTCTTTTATACCTTTAAAGAGAAGAGATTTCATTTTCCTGGCCAATTTTAAAGCTGTAATATTGACTTCTAAGGTAAATTAAATTTTTTTTAAAAAAAAAAGAAGAAAAGAACCCCTCTTAACACCCGTTCCCGTGAAGTCCTTTTAAAGGATGCCTGCATTTCATTATTGTAAGTCCTGCTTTTCGAAGAAAAAAGGGGGAGGGGGAGAAAAGGAAAACAGAGGGGAGGAAGCTCTAAGTATATAGAAATATGGCAAGGCTTAAATTCTTCATTGTGCAGCTACATTCAGTCCAAGTTACAGCACTTTTAATTTAAAATAATGTACCTTTAGCCAAAATTGTTTACTTTTCAGAAGAGACATAGGGGAAAACATATTTGCAGCTCCTGAAATTGTTATTTTTGTGTTTCAAAGCTTAGAGGAACACAACGGCCCCGGGGAAGACTGAAAGAAGAGGGGAGATTCACGCACGGCATTTTGTGCATTAGCGTTGCTTTAGTCAGCACTTTTAATTTAAAATAATGTACCTTTAGCCAAAATTGTTTACTTTTCAGAAGAGACATAGGGGAAAACATATTTGCAGCTCCTGAAATTGTTATTTTTGTGTTTCAAAGCTTAGAGGAACACAACGGCCCCGGGGAAGACTGAAAGAAGAGGGGAGATTCACGCACGGCATTTTGTGCATTAGCGTTGCTTTAGTTTAGTACTCTTAAGAGGTTAAGGACATATTGAGAGCGTCTAAAATGGTTAATCCATACAGGTGTGGATTACTATAGCCTAGGAAAATGATACTGGCTCTTTAAACCATAAAGATGTGTTTATAGGTTCATCAAGAGAAATTAAAGTTGGCTGTGAGCTCCCGAATCCTATTCTCTCTGTTCATTTTCTTCAGTTTCATTCTGCGGTTCTGAAACCAGATTTTAACTTGTCTGTCTGTGAGGTGGACTGTGCGGCTGATCTCTAGGCGACGCTCACGAGTCAGGTACATATTGAATAGAAACTCCTTTTCCAGCTCGAGAGTTTGATGCTTGGTATAGGGGCACCGTTTCTTTCTGCCACTTTTTGCCGTGAGCCAGTTTGCCGCATTTTCTCCTTTTGAATTGCCTAGTTTTGAGAAAGTAAAAAATGGACGTTACCAGCGGGTAGGAGGCAAAGAGCTGGGGGGAAAGGGTGGAAGGAGCTTCTGTGTGTATCCGTCTGTGTGTGTGTACAGTCAGCTCGCTCCACCAGCTGCGGGGAGTTGGAATGTGGGGTATCCTTGTGGGAACCGAGAGCTTCAAAGCGGTTTCCCAAAGGGGCTGAATCTACCCGGAAAAAGACTGCCACTACTCAAAAAGCACCGGACAGCCACCGTCGAGGAAGTGTGTCCCGCCATGTAGTTCATCTCTGACACCCCAAAACAGGCTTCTACCCTCTTCCTGTCGGCCACTCCGAGCCCACTGTTACTGGGGGCAGCTTGATGAACGGCCTGGAGTCTTATTTCCTACGCCTCAGGCACCTGCTTTCAAAAAAACCCCAAAGCCTCCGGATCCGAACTTTCTAAGTGTGCTCTGGAGGTGTAAACGAGGTGAGCTGGGGAGCCAAAGGCTCCCTGCCTTCAGCCCCTGCCTTCTCGGAGTGCTTCGACACGGCCCTCTCTTTTCCAACACTTAGGGGAAGAAAAACTACAGTAATAATAAAAACTTTTCAATGTGTTTATTCCTATCAATGGAACTGGCCGGGAAAGAGGCAACACCGATCCCTTGATGGCTCGGAGTGGTTAGTGGTTTGGGGTTGGCTCTCTAGTAGTTTTTTTCTTTCCCTCTTTTTTTTTTTTATTTTTTTTTTAAAATATTTTTTCCAATGGGGCGCCTGAAAGGAATAACAGGGCATCTGACATATGGACGGAGAGAAGCTCCTGAAAAGTCTGCCACCCGGGGAAGGGGAATTAGTTTTTTGCCATGGGGACCCGAAAGGGAGATAAATAAGGAAATGTATAAATAACAGCTCTGTTATCTAGTGTAGACGCTGAAGGATATTCGCGGTGCATTCATCAGTCTAATTTGATAGCAGCTCATAGATGGCACATTTCAGCGCGGCTGTTATTCCGAAAAGCATTCTGGATCGTAAAATATAACTTACCGCGTTAATAGGTTTATTTATTGGCACTGCTTATTGCTTATTTTGGATGCTTTACAAACATCTCTGTTATCTGGTAGGCAACTTCACATCACAGGGGAAAGATTGATCTTGTTTTTCTATATGTTTAAGCAGCATGCAGGCTAAAGTTGCCCATAGCGGAGGCTCTAAGGGTTTTAAACTATAGGATGGACATTAATTTTTACGGCAACCCCATGCCCGAATATTACAAAGTTCACAAGGTCAGTCTGAGCAGCGCTTCTTGGCAGCCCCGCGGGGCAGCTGGGATCCTCCTTTCACATCGCGATGCCACTCTGATCCGCAACAGCTTTTTTTTTTCTTTCTTTTTTTTTTTTCCCTTTTTAATCATCACCGTCACCATCATCATTCGCTTACCTACGGGATCTTTCTCGGGAGAAGCTTTGCTGCTCTCTGACGGAGCTGGAGAGAGCTCCTCTGCGGTGGAAGATGAAGCCTGAGTCTCGTCCTCCCTCTGGGTGACGCACGCCAAAGGGCTGGGGGAACGCTCCTCGTCCTCCTTCCTCCCCGCGTCCGGGACGGGAGGCAAAGATGGAGGCGTCTGGAAGCGGCCGGGGGGCTGCGGAGGGAAGGGGGCAGCCCCGGCCGGCCCCGCGCCGTAGTTCTTGGAGGTGCCATAAGCCTGGGAGAGGCGGAAATAGCCCGGGACCGGGACCCCACCGCCGCCGCCGGCCGAGCTGACCTCGGCGCTCAGCCGGGGAAAGGGAGCGAGGTCTGTGCCGGCCGAGCCCTTGGGGCATTTCTCTGAGTCATAGAGGCAGTAGGAGCTCTCCTCCTTAATGCTTGGAGCGAAGGAGCACGAGGTGGCCTGCTGGCTCTCCGGCTCTTCCATGCGACAGGACCGGGGGGGTTCTAGCCACCCTTCCATCC